GGCCGAGGCGGATGGGTTGGGGTTCCGTGCTTGACGGGGGGCACAACAGCATGGTAGCGCGCCGGAGCAGGGCACGACGGCAGCGTGGTAGCGCGCCGGAGCAGGGCACGACGGCGGCGTGCCGGGCGGTGCGCAGGGGGTTGATGTAGTCGCGGCTTTGCCGGATCTGGCCCTCCTAGCGGCGCGGGCCGTGGGCAGCTCGGACTGCGGACAACCGCCTCTGCCATGGCCATCTAGGCTGGTGGAGGGGGCGGCGCAGTGGTGGTGGTGCAACCTTCTCCCCCGTTGTTCTTTGTTCCTTGCTGGCATCTGGTGGCGAGTGCGTGGCCGGCTGGTGGTGGCTCGGGTACTCCGGGGAGAGAGGCGGGAGTTCTTCCCGGCCCTGCCATCGTGCGCGATGGTGGCCCTGGTCCCTGGTGTGCAGCCTGGCTGCTGGCCGCTGACGGTTGTGCCCCGCCTAAATCTGGCCAGCTCGTCCCCGATCTCACAAGGGGCTCACTTTGGGGGTGGAAGGAGGGGCCTTCTGCCCCCTCAGCGGTCGGCGGTGGTTATGGACCGTGGCGGTGGGTGACGGTTGTCTTGGACGCCGGGGCGACGGTCTCGGTGGTGGGAGCCGCGGTGCCCGTGGGCAGGGCTCGAGGCTCGGGTGCGGGCTGGTGGCCATGGCCGTGAGGGCGTGTTTTTTTTTTGGAAACGGAGGCATGCCCCCGGCCTCAGCATCATGACGATGCATGCAGCCATTTTATTAAAAAAGTCTCGAAGTATCACAGAAACAAAAAAGGTATTGCAGCTCGCAAGCGGAGCGAAAAATAAAAGAAAATTACATGCTCAAAATCCCAATCGGTATGATAATGCCAAGGGCAAGCTCCGTAGACTCAGATGCTGTTATGCAACCGCCATCTGAACCGGTTGAATATAGCCCGCGCTACCATCTTCCACTGGTTGCACCCAGTAACCAAAGGCTCTTTGGAGGCCGTGAGGGTGCGTGGCGGCTGGTTTTCGGCGTTCGGTGGTGGGAGTGGCCGACCTATTCTTGGTTGCGCTACCCTAACAAGGTACTCCCTCCGTCCGGAAATATGTGTCATCAAAATGGATAAAAAGAGATGTATCTAGAACTAAAAATACATCTAGATACATCCCCTTTTATCCATTTTAATGACAAGTATTTCCGGACGGAGGGAGTACATTGTTAGGGTGGCGGATAGTGCTGGCCGGGATGAAAACTATGTCTGCCTTTGGCCAGACCGACGGCGGCGGCGTATGTGAGCGTCGTACCCTTTTTGAAGGCTCCGTTGTGGCTGCTTTTGATGCTCCGGGGCGCTCCGGGTGAAGAAGACCCTGATCCTTTGGATCAGGCTGTGGCGGCGCTACGACATCGTGATCTTCCAGAAGATGCTGCTTTGGAGGCCCCGATCCGTCGATGTTCGGCTGCCCCTCTTCGTGGTGTTCACGTTTGAGGGCTCCATCGAAATCTAGTGGTTCTTAATCTTCCTATCTATAGTCTGCTAGGACTCGCTTGGAGTCTGTAGCTGTTCTTCAAAACCTCTGTATCCAGCCTCAGGTGTGTGTGGGTGGGTGTGATGTATGCGGTGGTTTGTCGTTGATTGTTACTTTATGTATAAAGCGGCGCGAAAGTTTTTTTTGGTAATGATGATAGCGATTGTGGCATGGGGATGAGATATTGTCGGGAGGAGCTGGGAACGAGAGGTAACAAGTTAGATTTTATACTCGTGTTTTGTGGGCCTAATGGGCCAGAGAATTCCAGAGACGGGTCCTAAACGAAGCTCATCTCAGATGTTCTTTAGGTTGTGGCCTGTCTGGTTAACTGTCTGGTACAGCTGCTCTGTACTAGTTGTGTTCCAAAAAAAAAAAAAGCTCTGTACTAGTGGAACAAAACAAATAGAATAAAGCTAAGAAACAACATCCAGGAGTCATATACAACTGAAAAGAAGAAACATAGAGAAGTCTCAATTAAGAGATGGGTGCTGCAAAAGCACAAAATGATTATTCAGAACAAACGATGAGGACATGATGAAGCGTGGCAAGCTTGAAGCGCATCCCAGACAAAGTTGGTGTCTTTGTTCTACATTTAGCCATCAAAGTCTCAAAAGCTAAGATATCGTGCATACCTGACATCTAGTCTACACTGGACCATCTATTCTTACACCTTGTAAATATAACACTATTATAAGCGTGAGTGTAGAATAGCTTATTCTACACCCCTAGTTGAAAGTGATAAAATATATTAAAATATTCTACAACATTTAGTAATTTCGGAACAATATAGTAAAATAATGACTTGGATAGTAAAATACATCACTCTAAAATTACTAGCTTTGTGCACAATTTTACTATATATTTTTAAAAAATATACTATGGGTGTAGAATAACTGTTCCACACTATAGCTTATATCATGTTTTGACAATTGAGATGCTACGATTTGCAGCATCTTTCTAAATAAAGAAAAAAAAATCCAGCTGTGCATCGAAAGACTACACAACCATATTTGCACCAGCCTATATACGGAGAGTAGTTTGCATAAATTTTAAAAAACATAGTTTGCATTAAATACAGAACGATGCTTCAACAACTACTTAAAAACTTATAAAGTAGAAGCCGCATTTTTTATATAAATCAACACTATCCAGAAGCACGAACCAATACCCACACCTTCACTACGTGCATGCAGCGAGAAAAATGATCAATACTGTCATTCACATTTATGTCTAGCGTCTCTTTGTATGTATCAAGCCTTATCATCTCTCTCTTGAAACAAACAGACCACATGGGATGCTTGGGTTCGGAAGAGATCCTTAAGCACCCAGCACCTCATTTAACTTTGTGTATATGACTGCATGGTTGGAAAAGACGTTTCCAAAAAAAAAAATTGGGTAAGGAGAGAGACGTGTCCAAGCTGCTGGTTTTGTTGTACATGTCATTGTCCCATCACTTGAGATTATTGGTTAAACAATTCGACTTATTATTTACATGTCATCTTTTGTGGAATGACAGGTACTTAGGAGATGGAGGCACAGATGGAAAAAATCAGGGAAGGAAACACCATTGGTTTACCAACAAGTAGCAAAATGCATCGAAATTGGGTTACTCTGCCAGGAACATGACCCGTCCAAACGGCCTTTTATATGGGAAATGATACATGATATAAGAGAAATTGAAGGTATTAATGGAAAAATCAGCAATGCCTATGAACACTCATTTGGGCAGGTACGCTCGTATGCTCCCTGGGCCGTATTAGTAAGCTTTTCACTACTTATCCTTGGTTGTTATCTTCTTTCTTTATTTCTTACTCCTAGAACACACTCTTCTTCATGTATTCTGCTCTTTTCTTGCAGATAATCCCTTACTCAGAGGACGATATGCTTGGCATTGAGCCACTCGAACTACATTTTCCTTTTGAGCTTAACAATCAGGTGTCATGCGCACTTCAGCTAACCAATGAGACAGACTCTTACCTTGCCTTCAACATCCAAAATATGAGTCCCCTGTCATACTGCACACAGCCGCAGAAAGGCATTATGCCGCCACGATCCAGGTGTGCTATTGAAGTGTCAATGCAACTGCAGGGCAAGGCACCGGGATACATGCATCGCGCCAATGAACTTATTGTGTGGAGCACAAAAGTGAATGATTGCATTGCAGTTGAGGATATAACTACAAACATGTTCATTAATGAGGCGGTCAATGCAGTTAATGAGGTGAATTTGGATGTGGTTTTTGACGCACAGATAGTTCTTCCACAGCCTTCAGTAATACATTGCAAGGACATGTCGCCGGTTCTAGGCACTATAGTAAGCAAGGATCAAGTCGACTCCACTCAGCCACAAGAAGCAAATGCTGAAACAAGTGAGGTGAGCTGTCTAAGAATACTAAACTTGGAAAACTATGTCTATTTAATTAGTGGTCAGCGCAAATCTTTAATCTTTGATTGTAGTCGAGTTCCTACAAACTAGCATGTTTTTTTGTCTTGAGATACTCCATGGGGGTACTTTGTACATATTAATTGTTGTTAGTGGATGCCGAAAATCAACAAGTATATTGTTTTCTTTCAGTCTAAGTTCTCCTTCCTTTCTTTTCAGAATATTTGCATCTCAAATGACAACCTAGATGGCGTCTCAGATGATAACCCACCAGTACTGCATGACAGACATACAGCTTCTGAGGAGGAGAGGATGCATGTATCTCCATCTTCTGTATCAACTGCAAATGCAGCTCATGCACTTCAAGCCCCTGTCGTGATAGAGGAACATTGGGTACAATGTGACATATGTCACAAATGGCGTCTCCTACCATATGAGTCGGATCCTACTACTCTTCCAGAGAAGTGGGAATGTAGCATGCAACTGTGGCTACCTGGGTTGAATAGGTGCCATGTTGGCGAGAATGAGACTACAAATGCTCTAAATGCACAGTATGTCATTCCACCCCCTGCAAACGGTATTCCTTCAGTTCGTCATCCTCATGCTGGACTAGCAAGAGCCGACGCGTTCAGTACAAATGAACATGCTGAACAGAGCAGGAAAAGGAAGAGTTTTCCAGGTGATGGAAGTGCTTTGGTTGACAGTTCTCACCCACCACAAGCTTCAGCTTATTCAATGATCACCCAACCCCGTCCTAGAATTAAAAGTACTGCTGATGTAGGAGATAAGCCCTAGATGCAGTAATATCAGTTATTTTGCATCTCCTGGTTTGTAATGAAGGTTTATGTTCCATGCTATAACTGCAATGATTCTCGAGTCTGCAAATAAAACGAGGCTTGGAGGGAAACTCATGTGCACGTGTGGGATAATAAACGGTAAAATGTATTGCTAGTCAAGCCTCTATGACTGGCTCAAGTATTGCATGATGATCCTGTTTTCCTGATCATGGGCATGACTATGCTGGCAATTTTGAGGGCACAATTATTAGTAGAACACTTGTGTTGAATCGGCCCATTTTGATGTTATGCTATGAGATACATTCGTCACAAGTTAATGGTTAATAACAGAGAGAAGTTAATTTTTGCATAATTCCTTAGACCATGAGAGTATTGAGTTCCTTCATACTTGATTCGTGAACTTTGGGGTTTGTTAAACGTCATCCATAACTGGGTGGCTATTACGGCGGCCTATGGGTTCACGGAAAAGTATGGCAAGTAACAAGATAGCTCAAGAGTGGGATTTGCTCCTCCGACGATGGAGAGATATACTCGGGCCCTCTCGGTGTAACGGTATCCATCATCGTCTGGTCAGACATATTGTGATTTGATCACTGGGATGCCGGAACACGGAAACGATAAAAGAGAACAAAACCGGTAACGAGGTAACTTGCATGGTGGACAAATTGTTGATCCATAGGAATGCAATAAATCTCACCTCGGGTGTTTGTGACATATCACGAAGCAACAGGAATAGCTCACGGCAACGGGAGGTTCACTCGAATATTCATTCGTGTGGGTATAGGGGTCAATATGGGTGTCCACGGCTCCGATATTGATCATTGATCGGAAGAGTTTCCATGCCACATCTATACTTCACCGAACCTATAGGGTCAGACGCTTAAGGGTCATCTATCTGCTGAATACTAGACAGGGAGTCTGAGAGAAAATCACCGAAGAAGTTTCGGACAGCGGAATCATACCGCAGAGAGAGGTCGTCGGATAAGTTTCGATGATACCTAAAAGTTGTTTCAGGATATATTATTAAGTGAAATTGGTTTCGGCACATGTCTGATAATTCTTGGAGGGTGCCAGAATCGTTCTGGAAGCTTTTTGGAATTTTCTGAGATAAAAACCGAAAATGTTCCGGAGCTGTCGGAGCCACTTCAGATGTGTTTCGCATATGAAAATCACTAAATCGGAATTGTTTCGGAATGCATTTGAAAATTATTTTAGTGGGTACTGGAAATGTTCTTAGCCCACATAAATATTTTCAGTTCGAACGGACGCTGAAAAATGTCGTCGTGAATAGTGAAAGTGCTTTTTAGGATATTTATATAGAGCCACCTTTTTGGACCTGTTCAAAGTTCTAGAAGGAAGTGGCTTACAAGGGAAGGAACCCCATTTGGGGGGGCCCCTAGGGGTGGCCGTCATTTGGTGGTGGAGCTCCTTGGAGCTCCACATGGCATCCCATTTTGACCTTAACACCCTCATGTGTGACCTAATGCATGGGGTTTTTGGTAAAATTGTGGAGGTACACTACCCCTTGGTTTTCCTGTAAATAGAGGAGGTGAGGGCTGCCATCTCTTCATCCCTTTCTCTCATACACATGCCATGCATTATCTGGCTTCTTCTCTCCCTCCAACGAAAAGAGTTTTGTAGAGCCGTAAGGCTGTGTGGGTTCCGGCAGGAACTAGTTCTTGACGGCGAAGCCCTGCCGGATAGCTGACAACGTATGTGTGCAACCTCGTAGAGAGATTGTAGTTTTGATCTTTTTCCCGAGGGGCTGTTCGAGTATCCTCCCGAAGGGCTGTCCGAGTCTCCGACCGAGTTTCAAGGGTCCTCCCGAAGGGCTGTCCGCGACATCGTCCGGGGGACTGTCCGACCACCTCCCGAAGGGCTGTCTGGAGAGGGAGTACATCCTCGCGGTTGGGAGGTTTTAAATCCTAGCTACAGGGATCTGCACCGACGATCTACACCGACTCTTCTTCCGCTACGTTTCGAGTCGGTACGGATCAGATCAAACCTTGTATGTTGTCTCCATATTGGTCCTGGGCGTGCTCGCTATACCGAAAATATTTGCTTTCCATTGCGTTCCCCTACAGTGGCGTCAAGAGCCGTGCTATGCGTAGATGCAGGTTACGATCTAGAATACATGGACATGTATGGATATTGCATAATATAATTTTGGAGTAGATGAGATCTATTGCTGAAAATTATTTATGCAGGTGACAGATGAAATCTGTTACCCGACGTTCTTATTGCTTCCCTAGAATTTGCGTTTGCTCAATCTCGAGACAGCATGGTGGAATTTGACAAAGTTCTGGCAATCCGTGATCCTGATTGATCATGGAAGTGCTATCAGTTCTTTGGGTTCTGCCATAGTCAAAAGAAAGATGAAATTCGCACATGAAAGGGCATTGCAGATATGATCTGCACGGGGGTCATGCGTATGATGAAGTTTAGTATGGGGCTCGAGATTTCATTATCTCGTGTTTCATACACCCCGAGATGTTAATCTAGCAACTTGAATAATCATACTTGATGATAAAACGTTGGTAGCTGCGGTTTAAGTCAAAACTTTAGAAGCCACGTAAAATAAAATTTTGCACAAACTGATTAGAGGCGTCTAACTTGGTTTTGCAGGATGTGCATGTGATGTGGTATAGCAATGCTCATATTCAATTTGATTATGTATGAGATGACTATATGATGTAATTGACCTGCGTGTCATGATTCGGTATGATGGCTGGAGCCATATGATTGCACTTTAATGACCTGTGTGTCAACCTTAAGTATTGCATTTATTTTATCCACTATGGAGATAGCAATATTATCTGGTGCATCGACAAGGTGGTGGCAATCTTCGCAAAGGTGAACACCGACGCGAATGCCGGAGACGAAGAAATACTTGACTTCTCTGTTAGAAGAGGCTATACCATATCATGCTCTTATGAATTGCCTGAGATGTTTATCCCTCTTAATGCACCCTTCTTGATTTCGCGGTAGTCGCTTTTATTAGGGTGATTTCTCACTTAAAATATAAAGTAGTTAGTGTTCTCCCAAGTGCAGCACCGTCACAACATCTATCCTTTCAGGGTGGGCCATGGATGCGTGGGTACGAACAATTGGAGAAATGTAAGGCGGGTGAGGTCAGACCTTGCAGCAAGATCACTTGGTTGTCTTGACGTTCATGGCAGGATCATCCTGAGCTCGGAACACACGCATTGAAAGATGAACAAGAGTCACATAGAGATGTGATCGGCAAGTTGGCCTACCAATTGAAATCCTCGTCATGAGATGATGATTCTATGACGTTGAATTGATATATGGATCTTGAATCACGCAAAATAAATTTTGAGAGATATTGATTTGAGTGGGAGCACACTTTAGAATAAAAATGTTTATTCACTAGTGCAAATTTCATTATAAACAAAGTCTAAGTGAAACTTGTGTTTTCCGTTGTAGATCAAATGGCTCGCAATACCGTGTTCAACTTAGGCCCGATGTTAGAGAAAGAGAAGTTAGCTACGACAGGAAACAACTATGCCGACTGGGTCCGTAACCTGAGGATTGTCCTCAGGAGCGCTATGAAATTGTACGTGCTTGAAACTGCTCTTCTAGCTAAACCGGCGGCAAAGGCCCCAGAAGATGAACAAAATGTCTGAGCCACTAAGGATGATGATCAAAACTTAGTGCAATG